AAACTATCTTCTGGAGGCAGTAAGTACCATTGACTTAAAAAGCTCAGGAGAACTAAGGAAACCAAAGCTTGATAGCAAATCTCTTCTTCTCCACAGCATTCTGCCCCCTCCTCCCCCAAAAATAAGGATTATCTGAAGTTAATTTTAAAATACAGAAGATTCCATAGCTTTAAGTAGATGAGTTTCACTTTAACCCAGAACAGAGATGATCTACATGTCTATTTTTTTTCTTAGTTTCTCTTTTACACAAATGTTGCAAAAAAATCACGCATTGTCTTGCAAATCCACCTCGCACAGAAAATGCCAATCCATAGTTTTAGAAAACAAAGAAACACAAAGATATAATATGATTTACCTTTTGAGATGAAAAAGAGATGGTCTTCTAATTAGATCCATGCCATCTTAAAAGTCCTCTGCTTTCCACAACAGCCTGGGTTTCTTTGAATAAACTCATAGGAGCTTGTATAATTAACTGGGCATGTTATTATTGCCTGGAGAACATGTTGTCTATGGAGTCTGCACTTGATTTTCAAGTGTGAGGCTGACCAGAGATGCCGCTGAAAAACACAAGGAATTTGAGGAGGAGATATTTCCTGATACCATTCATCAGATAGCTGCATTATTTCCCCCTGCGCTGATCTAAGTCCTTCAGTGTCTTATCTACAAATTACTTTATCACGTGGACTAACTTGTTCCACAGCTGTTACTCACCTGCTTTGTTCTAATGGAAAAAGGGAGTTGAGAACTACAGGCAGTAAAAATGTTTGTGTAGCTGGGGCAAAATATTTGTGGGCTCTGATTTAAAAAACAAAGGAGGGAAAACCTCAAGTCTTTCCTACCTGAGCTTGCAGCATGTTTAACGTGTCAGGTGCATGGGCAGGCTCTGGGGACATGCACCAGTGCTCACAGAGCCGCTGCGCAGGCTCAGACCTGGGCTCTGAAGGCTACTGTGGTGGGTGGTAAAGAGCAGGAAATTCCCCAAACTAGGCAGGGACGCTGAGTTCTTATCTGTGTTTCTACCTTGAACCTTCAAGAGCTGGGAGCCTTCTGCATAAACACAGGACGTCCAAATAACAATGGATTTTTTGTCCCTAAAGTATTCGATCAAAACCAGTTTACCAGTGGAATTTGTACCTGTAATGATGCATGTGAGGCAGTGACTTGCTGAACAAAAGCGATTTATCTAGAAGAAGCTGCGATTCATTTTACATGAGTTTTTTTTTAAGCAGCAATTTCTTCAGCAGATGAATCTATGCAGATAGTTCTGTTCCCCCACAGACTGGAGACAGTCCCTCTGGAGATCTTGACTTCTCATAAGAAGGGCTGCTATAGGGGCAATACACCTGCAGGGTGGGCAGATGCACCCTAGATCTCCAGGGCCACCATGCAGCAGTGGAAGGCCAGGTGGGACACAGCAAGGCATCCCAAAAGGCAGGCAACTGATTCAAGCAATAAATCTCATTCATTGTTGCACTGCAGAATAATGATGGCAAGAAAGTCAATATAAAGTCACCTGTTAGGGTGACACGGCTTCCTCACTTCTGCAGTGCTTCCCAAACTAAGCGGTCATGACCCCAGGGCTGGTCCCGGGTACTAAAATTGTGTTGCCAATTGAATTTTGTAGTTT